GCGATTACAAACGCGAAAATTTGTAAGTATGGATGGATTCAACCATGAACAATTTACACAGCGCTATCTAATCCCACGGTACGCAGAGCTTGTGCTATGTCTACTAGACAACTAATATAAATACTTACATTTTTTATGTAAATACATACATAATATGCGTAGAAAACACCCAGACCGATATAAACATTCATACACATGAATACAATAAGACGATCTAGACAAATAGAAATAAAAATAATCTTTATTCAAATAAACTTAATATAAGCACTTTTGTATAGTCCCATTTTTTTAATTTTATTCCATTCCGATCGCAGACTTCTCACAAGAAGATCGACGTATCCTTCTAAACAAAAGCAGAATTAAAAATTAGTCTACATTTATTGATTATCGACGAAGGTACATCGTCGGTTAAATAGAAAAATGGCAGTATTCAAAATGTAAAGTACATTTTGAATACTTATATGTTTTGTATTGTAGACAATCATTTAAAGTTTTTAAATATATTTAAATTATTTTTTCCTTTAAAGTTTTAAGTTTACACAAATGTATTGTATATCATTTTAAAAATATTTAGATAATGATTTAGACGGCGGGGTTAATTTAATTGACTTATATAAATTAAAAAAAAATTGTAACTTCTAATTTTTTAACATGTCATTTTTCTATTTATTCGACGACATAGCAAATTCAACATAGATCCTCCTCAATTTTTGAAGTTGGTTAATAAATAAACATTCAAATTGAATTAAAATGATATCTGCCATTAGATATGTGTTGAAAAGAAGGAAGTAAACACAACGTTAAAAAATATGACTATTCAAAAGTGCTTACATTAAGTTTATTTGAAGAAACATTATTTCAATTTCAATTTCGCTATTAACGTTCAAAATAGATAGATTTCAGTGAGGCGGTGAAATAAAAATATATCACATTCGTTTAGAATTCAAGGAATCCTAGAAAAATCGTAAATAGATCTAGATTCAGCGTACCTACAATGAATAATGTATCGTCGCGGACTGTTGCGCAGGCGCACCGAATTGTGTTATTATTAGATGGAGTTTGTACTCACTGTCACCATTAGAGCGACTATTAAAAGTTAACTAACATGCTAAAACTAGAGTCCAATCTAATTAGGTTCGAATTTTATAGCTTCTAAAACCAAATATTATGATATTTTATCGAATTAGTTATTTTGTCCATTTCATTATTTAAAAAAAAAAACTTTTTTCAGTCAATTCACACAGTGCCATCTAAACCTAAGTTATGCTAATGCTTGTGTTATGGGTACTAAATAACTGATACATATACATAGATTTTTTTTGTAAATACATACATAGTATAAATAGAAAACACCCTGACCGACACAAACAATCATACTCATGAATGTTTGTATCGGTTTGTTGTGTTTGTTGTTTGTGCCATGCCAGGAATCGAACCCGCGGAAGTAAGTTGGTGTGCTAAATCGCTAGACCACCGACGCCGTCATTACCTAATTATGTTATTATGTTTAATTCCGCTATCATTATAATAAATATAGTCCGTAATATAAAAATAGTTCGATCTTGTTTTTTTTTGTGAATTTATTGTTATTTTGTTGTTAAGTCCATTTCATTACTTAATGTAATTATTTTGTTTAATTCCGCTATCATTAGAATATATAAGACCCCATGAATAAAAATAGTTTGATATTTTTTTTATACAATTGGTTGTTATTTTGTTGTTAAGTTAATTTTATTTATATTATTTTGTTTAAAATAGAACGTGTATGTAACGTGTATATGAATAAAAATAGTTTTATCTGATTTGATTTGAAAATTAAAATTGCGAATACTATCAAATAGATATCATCTATTGATCTCTAAGAAATATAAATAGAAATAATCTATAACACTGACTAACACACATATATAATAATAAAATAAAAATAAATTGTCTGTGTGGCCAAAGCACCGATGACGGCAATCTGCCACTGTAGCGCCGGTACACCACCCCCTTCGACCAGTAGTCCTCCTTCATGAAGGTGGGCAGCATTGTTTTTTTATTAATGATAATAGAATGGTGCACCAGCTTGCGCTAACGGTTTACACTGGCGGGGCACTAACAGAGGATGATAAGATGAGCAAGAGGTCAGGTCAGTTAGCCCATCGTGGTAAATTCACAATGGTTTCCAGGGGGAACCGCGTGAAGGTCAACTTCATGTGGTACATGATTATTAGGCCAATTACTAACAATATTCTATCCCCCCGGTGGGCCGCATGTTGGTAGAGACCCGGGCCACAAACGTCAATTCTGACTTGATTTAACTAGTTAAGATGGTGGGACATAAAAGTTATAATTAGGTTTAGAATTCACATCGGTTCACGTAAGAAAACTAATTGTGGATCACTGTTTGCCATACTTTATAGTCTGAGCATTTGATCGACAAATCTATATCTAGATATACCATGGTAGACTGCTAATATAAACGAAACCGGATCACTTATGAATTACTAGCTGAGCCGCCTAACGTTGTCTGCATCACGCTTGATATTTATCACTATGTTTCGCGCAATTTACATAATTTCTTTCTAAATGATAACCTGTATGTTATTCTGATGTATAAGCTATATAACTGTACAGTTTCATAAAAATCCGATCAGTAGTTTTTGCGTGAAAGACTAACAAACATCTATCTATACTCACAAACTTTCGCGTTTATTATATTAACTAGCTATTCGCCCCGGCTTCGCACGGGTATACATGTATTATATATATAAACCTTCCTCTTGAATCACTCTATCTATTAAAACCGCTTCAAAATCCGTTGCGCAGTTTAAGATTTAAGCACACATACGGACGGACAGACAGCGACAGCGACTTTGTTTTATACTGTGTAATGATGATAAGATATTGTAACGGAATTTACTTATTATATTCACCCTCTCCTGTTCTCTAACTTTGGCTCCGACCTGTTGAACTGTGTCGACAGGTTTCACATAATCAACTTGTTTTTCATTGTTTTTGGATAACGTTGTTCTATTTTTTATTGGTGCGTGTAACTGTTGATGCACTGCTCACACAGTTCATAAATACTAAGGTATTGAAGCACAAAAACAGAAAAACAAACAGCACAATCGAGTCATTATTCCATGGATAAAAATGGATTACGTAGTAACGATGTCGCAGACGAGCTAGCGAGGAGAGGATCAGCTATGGCGGCAGCAGGCCCTCTGCCACTCTGCTAGAGATCCACTAAAATACAAAACCAAAGATGGACCCAAAGCATTAATTGTAAACAATCGAAGGGTGCAATTCCAGTAACAAACCCACGACTCACGAAACGTCTATTAAACCTAAATAGACCTCAACATAATGATAGGGACAATAACGGGCCACGGTCCCTTAAACAAACATATATACACAATCGGTGCTACAGACAGTCCTCTTTGTCAGAGCTGCTTTGAAGCTGAAGAAACGGCTGCTCACGTAATCCTGGAGTGCTTGCAGTGGCCACACAACGAACACAAATCCTCGGAACGGTGAGGTCGCTCCGCGAAGCCTCTGAACAGGAGGGTTCTGCGCTTCTGGGAGGAACTTGGCTGGCTACGTTAGTACTCTCGGTCCTACACGCATAAAGGCCCAAATGAGATACTAATTTCGGACAATAGAGTCCATATTACATTACATTACCGTATATAAGGTATTGGTTATTGGCAATACTAATGTAAATAAGTTGTTGATTATCTAAATAAATAAAATAAAAAAGAAACGTTTTCAGTTCTTCATGAAGTTCTTAGATGAAATTTATCAAAGTGTGACCCATAACTGAAATAAATCAGTTTTCAATATATGTAACAAAGTAACTGTATTTACATCTATATTGCAAAGGAAAATTGCTGTTTTCAATTAATTGTAATGATGAGATGAAAATCAAACAGTAACATAACAGAAATTCTAATATAAAGACTTTGATATACAACAACATAGTTGAAAATTTATGTTTTTTTATATTACTTTTCGTCGGGTAAGAAATTCTGATGAATCCAAAATGGGCTATCTCATCTAGACTTAATTCTCAGTCAGTTGAAGGTAAGTCGGTTAGCCCATCTCGCCGAATTATAGAGAATAAACCACAGTGATTTCCAAAGTGACTGTCTGAGCATCAATCTAACCACACAACGCAGTCCCCATGGGGGGAAAGGGGATTGTTAGTAATGTGGACTGTTGATCTTATTGCTAGCAATATACCATGTCAGGTTAACCACCACGCGGTCCCCCCTGGAAACCATCGTGATAAATTCTTGGTGAATTTGTCACGATAGGTGACCTGACATTACCATCCTCCACTGGTGCCCCACCGCGCAGGCGGGTGCACCATTACATTATCACTCATAAAACAAACATCCGTCATAAATGATAACGGAAAACTGTACACATTTCGTACACACATGTGACTTGCCAAATGACAACGTCACACTGCGTCACACTCGAACACGTCAGAAGACAGGCAAAAATTTATCGGCGATTAATCTCAATGTTTTATGTACGAAACGGACCACACCGGTCCGATGCAGTGTTGCAACTTTACTGGCTTTACCACTATATTTGGCAGATTAATTTTCCTAATCAATAAAATTACTGATATTTAAATATTTTACTGTACTGAATAAAAAATAAGTTTAATAATATTTCTCTCCGACAAATTACTTATTAAAATTATTTTGTGTATATTATTTTTGGTGATTATAATTATATACGTATTTATTAACTTGTTTTTTCTCTATGGTTAAAATAAATAATAACAGAATTATGTCAGAACAATTTTTCATTAAAATTTCGATTAAAACTGAATTATACATTTCTAGCAAAATTGTAATTTATAATGTATATTCCAGTAAATTTATTGACCTAATGTAAAGCAAAGAATATTTTACTTTTACTAGACCCAGCTGGTGGGTTTGTTCAAACTGTGTTGGCAACACTGGTCTAAAGCCGGCCAGTCCAGTCTAGAACGCGTGGCTGCGCTAGCGTGACGCTATTCCCGCCACACTCGTCCGGCAACTTTCTGCAAACTGCATTCGAATTTCAAATCGAAACCGCGTGGTCAAAACTTTTTTTAAAGTTATTAAATAGTCGTGTTTATCTATGGATTACTGTGAAATGAATTGTTTATGGCTGTATGTGTTGTTTTAGTGATAATTGGATTTTTACAATAAGTTGAATTAAGGTGAGTCGTCGAATTCATTATGTTACGGTTTATAAGCCATGTGAAGCCGTTTTTTTTTCACGATTAACATACGAACTGTATACCTATATGCGTAAATAAATAACAGATATGTCTGGCGATTTTTTTTTATATTCACAACTACACTTTTATGGAATAGACTGCATTAGACAATATTATTTACGAGACATTTTTTTTTTAATTTATAGCAATTTTTATATGAAAACTCGCTGTATACTTACATATAATATATACTTAATAATTATTAGTAAAAAGTCTTGTTCTAGATAAGTAGAGTCAAATTTTAAACCGATTGCAAAAAGGTGAAGGTAATTCAATGGAACGGTATTTTTATATCTGTATGTGTGTATGACACGATATCAGCGCAAAAAAATTACCGGACAGCGATGACTCTTTACAATTGATACGGTTAATTTCCTTGTTTGGTTGTTATTTTATTTTATTTCTCGGAATAAGAAATGTGTACTTTTAATATACGAGGAAGTTTTAATATTGCGAGCGAACAATTAACTAGGTATGAGAATGTTATGTTCAGGACCGAAGAACAGCCGTCTCCGCGGTATATTCAATATAATATCAATTCAATTCAATTAATTTCAATAAAAAATATAGTCTATATGTTATTCTCATGTATAGCTATATTACTGAAAAGTTTAATCAAAATCCGTTCAGTAGTTTTTGCATGAAAGAGTAACAAACACCCATGGTCATAAACTTTCGCGTTTATAATATTACTACCTTTGCCCGCGGTTTCACCCGCGATAAATTGCAATAAAAAATGTAGTCTATATGTTATACTCATGTAAAGTTCCATCAAAATCCGTTCAGTAGTTTTTGTGTGAAAGAGTAACAAACATCCATACTTACAAACTTTCGCGTTTATAATATTATTAAGATTGGATGAACGTGGATGGATGGAAAGGTAGAGAACGACCGAAATCATGGATGGATTGTGTGAAAGATGATGTATAAAAAGAGAGTATGCTCAGACGGCCGATAGAGATCAGATATATGAAGATTGCGCCAACCAAAATGTCTGTATAAAACGCCTTCTCTCTAAAATTGAAGAGTTTATAAGTAATAATAGCTTTGTTGTCAAAAAACTTTAAACTCAGCGTTGACAATATTAGGAGTTTGCACTAGGAATGAGTGCGTAGCGGTTTCTATACACACAATAACAAGTAACAGGCATGCGATAGTATCGCACTATCGCATGCCTGTTACTTGTTATTGTGTATTTATTTATTTAAAATTACATTTATCCAAAAGAGTGACACACAAGTTCCTTGCTCGTTCTTCTTGTGACGAGTCTGCGTTCCGAATGAGTGCTAGAATCAAAAATATGATTATTCAAAAGTGCTTGTATCGAGTTCATTTGAATAAAGATTATTTCTATTTCTATTTCTACCACAAGTAATGGCAAGGCAATGATGATAACGACATTTTTTATCATTACTTAGTATAAAACAAAGTCGCTGTCGCTTTCTGTCCGTCCCTATGTATGCTTAAATCTTTAAAACTACGCGACGGATTTTGAAGCGGTTCTTTTTAGTAGATAGAGTGATTGTATCGTATGTATGTTGGACTCCAGTCTCCGCAATTAGTCTCTCATTCAAGTCAAGTTCAAGTAGCCAGCCAAGCTCTTCCCAAAAGCGCAGAAGTTTCCTGGTGTCTTCACAGGCTTCACGGAGCGACCTCACCGTTCCGAGGATTTGTTCTCGTTGTGGTAGATAGAGTGATTCAAGAGGAAGGTTTATATAGATAATAAATGTACACCCGTGAGAAGGCGGGGCGAGTAGCTAGTTAATTTATACTTTAAGAGCGCTCTTGTCGGTGGAGCCGTTGCCACTTTCCACGATCTTCCATCATGCTCTTCAAACAGCAACAGCTACTCAAGCAAATTTAAGACAAAATTGGAGTGGTGACAGCTACTCAAGCAAATTTAAGACAAAATTGGAGTGGTGACAGCTACTCTAGCAAATTTAAGACAAAATTGGAGTGGTGTTGTACCAATATTTAAAGAGCTATTGCTGCTGCTACTGTTGTTGTAGTAGCTGCGTAGCTGTGCCTTGGTCTTCCCCTCCGTTTCTTTCCTTCTATTTTTCTCTCAACAATAATTTTCATACATACATCGTGCCGTATCAAGTGTCCTAACATTTTCCTTGTCTAGTTTTATTTTTATTTATTCATTACTTTCACCCAGAACTGTATCAGTTAATTTCAGTATATGAGAATAACTAGGGACTAGCTCCAATTTCGCCTAGTTTTTTTATGTACCCAATTGTAATGGTAGACTAGCTAACGGCCCGCCTGATGGTAAGTGGTAACCATCGTCTATAATCATTACATAGTATAGAACATGATCGCTGTCGCTGTCTGTCCCTATTTATGCTTAAATCTTTAAAATTACGGAACGTTTTGAAAAATAAATAGTTGATTCAAGTTTATATATATAATTGATGTACATTCGTCGCACGTTCAAAACATAGAAATACGTCATTTATAAACATTTGTCCATAACGCTTTGCTAAAAGTGGATGAATTTTATTCTTACCGATGGAGAAGTTTATTCTTACAGATTACATAGAAATAGAAATAGAAATAATCTTTATTCAAATAAACTCATTACAAGCATTTTTGAATAGTCATATTTTGATTCTACCACTCATTTGGAATGCAGATTCATCACAAGAAGAACGAGCAAGAAACTTGTGTGTTGCTCTTTTAAATAGATGTTTTTTTTTTATATAAATAATTACAGTATAACAAGTAAGAGGCATGCGATAATCGCTACGCACTCATTATTAGTGTAATCAGATAATATTGTCAGTGCTATGTATTTAAAGTTTTTCTATAAAAACATTATTATCGTTAACGAATTCTTCAATTTTATAGATAATCCATAAGATAATCATAAGAATAGAATAAAAGTAATAGATTTTTTATATATGTATATTTAAAATCCATTTTTCTATTGTTCCATTTTTATTGTCAATTTGAAATATAGATTTTAAATATATATAAAAAATATAATAAAGATCTAAGTAGGTGCGTCGTGCACATTTGTTTTAATTATTTGTATCTATTTCTTTTATTCTATTATGTAATCTGTCAGAATAAATCTAAGAATTGGTATTCATTTATTGATCGATGTTAAATTTAATACAGTTTAAGTAATCACGAATGTATATTTGGTTTTAATATTCGGCGAAGTTTTTGCCTACTTCCACTTTAAATTCACTTTACTTCCTATAATCGCAGGTTCGATCCATCGCCTATTACTAGGATTGTTCATGTAGTGGATTAGTTGCTAGTAATGAACCATATCAGGTTGACCTCCATACGGAAACTATCAAAATATATTCTTGCTGGATTTTCCTCGATGGGCTAACTGACCTCAAGCTCAAAATGTTAACCTCCATGCAATTCCCCTGGAAACCATCATGATAAAAAATTCCTGATGAATTTGCTCATATTCTCCACTGGTGCCCCGCCAGCGTAAACCGTTAGCGCAGGCGGGTGCACCATTCCATTATCATCCAATAAAAAAAATGTAACATAACTTGCGCGCGCACTTTCTTTTCATAAGAACTGCAGTTACGCCGGATGATGTGAGAGCTGCGCCTGATTAGACACAGATAAATAGTTTTATTTATCTAACACTAATTTCTACCCGCGTGTTCGTCCGTGTTTCTCTGATTAACCGGAATTAAAGGAATCGTATTATATTTTGTTTCAAATATACATAATATATTTATTTATATAAAATTCTCGTGTCGCAGTTTTCGTGTTTATATTCTTCCAAAACGGCTTGACTGATTTTGATGAAATTTTATATGTATATTCAGTAGGTCTGGGAATAGGTTTATAACTAATTTTTATACCCCTAAGCATTAAGGGTGGCTCACCGCTAAATAGTATTTTTCATTTTTTTCGAAAAAAATTTTTTTATTTTTTATAATGTGGCATTTAAAAATACATAGAACCCTAAATTTTCACCCTTCTATCAGCAAACCCTATTTTTTTAATAGCGATTTTAATTTATATGCCAAAACATCGTTTGCAGTGTCAGCTAGCTATTATATGTATATAATTTTAAATCATACATGAATTTGTATGGAAAAGTAAGGTCATTCACCGTATATCTTTCAAATCAACGTATCAGCGATGTATGGCGTCATACGGTGACATAATTATTATAATTTTAATTAAACACAGTTTTTTTGTCATGTTAGTGGATCTCGAGTGGTCCTCGGTGCTCTATTATAATAATACTAGATCCATAATATTAATACTAGATTTAAAAACAAACTTGCTGTCCCCAAGTATCGTTTAGAAAAAGCCAAAAGGTATTTTATGGGAATAGGTATAAAAATTTATGTTCATTCTGTTTATGTACTTCTGTGTGGTACTTACTTGTAATATAATAAGGGTTTTTTTTATATTCAGTGCAATTCTTTAATAACATCGTGGATTATAATTGGCTAAGATTAATAAAATTGTAAATTGTAAATTAGTAAAATAAGCTGTTATTATCCCGAAATAATTAAAATAAAATTTACAATAAGATGCCAAAGGATATACTTGAATTACTCTTAAATTACCCTTAAAAAAAATCAAAATATCTGTTAAATCATATTTACTGAGCAAAGCCTAACTCACTAAACGGATTACTTGAATGACGAGCGTGCATGGCAATAGTTGTTCATGCACGGGATTTTTATTTAATGTTAGACATAGACACCTATATACATACATTGTAAATAAACTGGCTTTAAAAAAAAGTAATTCATTTGAGTTTCTTGCCAGTTCTTCTCAATTTGGATGTATATACTTCAAATTCAAATTCAAATTCAAAAATCATTTATTTATGTAGGACATATAATATAAAAAATTTTACGTTTAGCAGCTTATGAACGTTTTTGAATTTGAAAATTTTTTATATTATATATTTGTTCCGTAATATATTTATATATGTCCAG